TACACATGCATGCATTGTCCATTTTTCCCTCTGATTATCTTGATAACTTTTCTCTTTATCATGTTTGTTCAATGTGTATAGTATGCCCCAGTGTGGTGGTTTTCTTTATGCTTATCTTGCTTGACATTCTTGAATTTACAAGTTTCATCAAATTTGGAAACATTTGGTCATTATCTTTTCAGAAATTTTCATCTTTTTTTGATATATCAATACTGTAAAGAGTTTTAATTTAAAAAACCTAGTAAAAATTCAAAACTTTATAAGGTTGAATGCCAAGAGTTTTAAATTTACTTGATTTTTTTTCCACTTTATAAATCTGAAAGGCAGAATCTTGTGGCCATTAATAACATAAATTCTGGGGTCAGAGTGCCTACCTTGAATCTCTGCTCTAAGGCAGTATGACTTTGGGCAAGTTTATTAGCTACATTCCTTATCTTCTGCTTCTTTCTTCTCCCTCCTCTCTCTCCCCAACCTTCCTCCTCTCCATCTTTCCTCTCCCTCAGTCTTTCCCTTTTCCCCCACAGTGTGGGCTGTGCAATTACTGTGTGACCTTGATAAGTGATTAAATCTTAGTTTCCTTAAATTTAGAAGGAAATATTAGTAATGCCTATCTAGTAGGTTCATTGTGAGGAAAAAAAAAAGACACAAAATGCAAAGGAAGCACATAACATTCATAGCTTGTATTGACTCACATCGATTTTCTTGCCTTATTTTCTACATTGTGCATGTTGTAGAGCTCTTTCTACTCTGAATTTGTGGGATACATTTAACTTTTAAACTGATCGGTGTACTCAAAATTCAAGATACAATTAAGCCTATTTCCTGTCATAGGGTCATCTCTGATGAGTGGAAAGACCTGAAATCAGGGAACATACGAGGAAGACAGAGTCTAGATGGGAAGATCTTTGTCCTTCATGTTTTAGATCTGTTCTCAAGACGCTCCTTCCATGTGATAAAACCAGGATTTTTTTGTAAGGAGTAGGATCAAGACATCCCTAGAAGAGGTTATTTGCCACAGGAAAGTAGAGCCTGGATTTCCTTCCCTTTTCTCTTTTCTTGTATAATTACTCATTGGTATCATGTACAGGAAAGAGAAAGCTTTCTTGTCTTCAGACCAAGGATACAGGTGCCCTCACACAAGTGACCAATAGGAATCTAAGCTTTTTCCTTTTTTTGTCATGTTTCTATTCACTCTTTTGTATAATCACAGAAAGACTTCATTTACAAGTGGGCCCAGAGATATTTTCAAAACACATATTTTCAAGAAAAAATCCATTGAAAACCAAGTACTTCCTTTAAAATTTTTATTTGAGCAAAATAATACGTTTAATTTTAGTTAAGACAGAAATAATTCTAGTTTCTCAGTGTAAAAATTTTAGGAATCAACCTACACACATCTCCAAAAGGTATGGTTTTGACCTTTGAAGGTAAACAGTTGGCCTATTTTTAAACTTAATAATAGAATCAAACAAAATTAGATAGTAAGGGTTTACACTTTATATAATCATTTATCTCCATGATCATTTATCTGTGGCCTATAGATTTTTACCTCATTTTATGATACATATCATCACGCAATGGTACTCTGAGAACATAGCATATATGTAATAAATATTAATTAAACTGAAGTGAATTGTTAAACACCATTAAACACATCATTCCTGACAACCAAACCAGCTATTGCTTTTCAGCACTTTGGTGACGCGGTGTAGCTGGATATCATATTCAAGTTGGTTAGGTCCTTGGAAGAAATAATAGTGTCCTAAAAATGAAAACAAAGCATGTAATTTTCCCTTTTATATTTCTTTGAAAACCTAGATCTATTTTTACAGATTGCCTAGATTAGATGAGCTAAGATTGAAGAATATAAATGTTGGGAGCCTTTGCAGTGTATCTTTCCCCCACATATCTTCCCACTCTCAATCACTGTCTGGGTGAAGGACTCAGGAGATAGTACTGGATCCAGAGAGGGCACACAGGATCCATGACAGAAACAAAGGGACTAGGGTGAAATTTTAAAATATTAACCCATTGAAAATTTTGCTTGGGCTAAATTTGGAGATGTTCATAACAAAACTGAACTTCTCTCATCCCACCATCAGTCCCAGTCTATGAGAACCTGTAAGGATAGAACTGAAATAGGGTAAAGACTGAAAGGTCTAGGAAAGTAGGAGGCTCCAGGCTAGCCTGAGCTCTGCTGGCTTATGCTTATATGTCATACTGTGCAGCTGTTGTGGTCACAGGAAATTCCAGAGACTCAGACATGGGGAAAATATCAGCAATTTCATTCCTAGGATGCCAGAGCATCCTAGGAATATACCATTGGTTGTCCCAGTCCTTGACCATTCTCTCTAGTCTACCCTGAGCCAAGTACAGTTTTCCCTCTCTGTCCTTATGGAGAATTATAGAGTCCTGTGCCCTTCTAATTTGAAGCCCATCCACACTCTGATTTTTAAAGTTCTGAAGTAGGATTTTCCAAGCTGGGTGTGGTACTCTGGGAGGCTGAAACAAAAGGATCACATGTTCAAGCTCGGCCTCAACAATTTAGTGACTTAGCAAGCCCCTATTTCAAAAAATTTTAAATAATTCTTTTAAAGGGTTGGAAACATAGTTCAGTACAAAGGTGCTGTGTTTTAATTCCCAGTTTCATAGGTAGGTAGATAGATAGATAGTCAGACAGACAAACAGATGGGATTTCCAATATTTTCATGGTCTCCTAATCTACTTACCTTTGAAGTAGAAAACTGCATCAATTTTAGGCCCAACTCCTGGGAAGTCCCGGGTAGTCAGTTGGGGAAAATTTGGGTCCATGAACTTTCTCCTTTCATCATATCTGAGTAAAGAAATAACCAGCAGAAACTTAATCAGGAAATGGATTTTATGACATGAACTGCAAATTTAACTTCTGTCCTGAAAGGCTTTTCATGAAGGTGTTTAACTGTACTGATGAATGAGACAAAGTACTAAAATAGTTTGCTCATTTACTAAAAGTCTCTTTAGGACTCAATCTTAGGCTTCAGACTCTAGTTAAGCCCTTTGCCAAGACCCCACAATACTTTTCCCAATGCATAATTCTCTGTTACAGAACCTGGCTTGGAACTGATTTGGTCCACTTCAGCCCCCCACTGACTCAATTATTTGGTTTCCTGTTATTTCCTCCTTTTCAAAGCTTTCTACTGAGACAAAATCAATGATTTTTTTTCCCCAATAAGATAATAGAAGGTAAGGGTTTAAGAGCCATGGAGCCGAAAGGTTTTAAATATACATGTTAGAGAGAAATGAAAAATAAACCATTTTATCATATATCCAGGCTATGTAGAACCCAGAGTTTTTCTTAAATTCTGTTTTACCCATGAGTAAAAATAATTTTGTTTCTCTAGACTTCTAAGTAGCAACTGAATCTACCTGTTATCAATGTAGTTCTTGAAATGTCTATTGTTTGTCATGACTGTGACAATTGCAGGCCCTTGTTTCTGGGCTTCCAGGGAAAGAAAAGTCTTGGGCCAGGTGGATTCAGAAGAGTAAACACAGGCTCTGGTCCGAATTGAAATGTTACTGTTAATGATGGGTAATGAATTACACCAGTGTGTGAGCTCTTCAGAAAGTCCTATTTGTTAAAATCAAAAGTTCTTTTCCTCAGGCTGTGGGTGCAGCTTAGTGGTAGAGTGTTTGCTTACCATGCGCAATGCCCAGGATTTGACCTCCAGGAAAATAAAAAGTTCTATTTCTCAATTAAGGCTAAGGCTGGTTGTCAAACTCATGTCATAAGCATGTGGTTTTCAAATGAAGTTAGATGTTGAATTTTAAATGTTCAGGAAAAAACAGAGCTGATACTGTAACCTTCTTAATACATTCTATTATGCCTGTGGGAGCCAGGCCAGTGATCTGGAAAGTGATTGTTTCCTCCGAACAGGATATATACAGGGCAGTAGTGGCAAACCCATGGCACACCTGCTGCAGTGGACTGTTTGTATCACTGACAACTCTAAAAGGTTTGCAACCACTGTTATGAAGGATTCTGTCCTAGTTCAAAATTAGACTCTAGAGAGAAAACCAGACAACTGTCCATATGAGCTCCTGGCCTTGTCTGACCATCTGATTTCCTCCTAGAGTAGGCTGCCTGAACATCTCGTCAAAGGGTGGCTTCCAAATTGTGTCTTCTAGGTCCAGTAATTATGGAAAGGAATGTGAAAATTCATACACTCTCCAAAATGACTAGAGATTAAACAATAGGCCTCATATTTCTATAACACTATTTTCCAGGGTTTCCACTATAATTAATAACATAATGATTTATTTGAAGTATTTTTAAAATTTTTGAAACCATCCCCCTTTGCTTGTTGGGGATTGAACCCAGTTCCTCATGCATGCTAGGCAAGCACTCTAAGCTACACCTGCAACCAAAAATATCTCTTATTAAAAACACATTATATGTGATCTTATATATCAGAAACCAAAAGCACAGAGAAGAGAACTAGGCTGACAAGTAGCTATTTCAGTGTTGTGTTTTCTTGAGCCCTGTGTCAGGAAGGTCAAGGCTTTTTGAGGTCTTGTGTAGAAAGACTAACTTCCGGACTAACTTCATTCGGTTCCTGTTTCACAAATCTTAGAGGTCAGAGTACCAGACATTAAAGCTCACCTCCAATATAGGTCATCTACAAAGAAGTAAGTCTTATAGTTCACTGGGTTGAAAAGAGCTGCATCAATTTTTTTCACATTACGGGGTAAGCCCAGAGAATATATGCTCCTGGGATAGCTTGGCTGTGGTCTCAAAGAACTAATTAACCAGTACTTATCATCTGTGAAGACAAAGAAAAATGATATATTAGAATTATATAGACAGAGCACAAGCATCATACTTTTCCCTGAATTATAAAATGTATCACTGTACTTGTTTTCCTCGAGCAAGGTCTATCTTCTATGGTTTCATGTCCCCACTTCACAAGTATTACTATCTTATATTTTACAATCGTTCTTCAAAAGTTGTGTATATTTCCTGTACAGTTAAGCTACTGTAACTTATGGTTCAGAGCCACTTTTAATAAAATGAGGGTTACATTTTGGTCTACATCCATAAAAAGTAGAAATATTTCTAAAAGCATTCTTTTCCTTAAAGTATATTCAGTGGCAAAACTAAACATTGGAATTACCTTTAAAAAGATAAACTTTATTTCTGGCTTCAATTTCATAAGCAGCTTGAATACCACGTGGCAAGTTTGACATTAAGGAAGAAATTAAGCTAACTCCGACTGTTGTTTCCTCAGGAAGCTTCCACCAGAAGAACCTGCCATGAGCGACATTTAACATGTTAAAAATTGTTGCAGACTCAAACTCCTTGATATGGGAATGACAAAGAACTGTGAAATGGTTTAATATTTCTTTCCATTATTTTCACATTTTATTATATGGATTTTTGTCTAGGAGAACCACAAGGAAAGGATCTTGCTTAACTCTTTGTTCATTACAATGACTCTAACAGGCAACTTCCTATATTCTAGAGCTTAGACTGCAAGGTTACAAGGTTCTAATCTGGGCTACGGTCCACTTGCCAGTTTTCTAGCTGGAAGGAAGACATCTAATCAAAGATGTCCATTTTATAATCTCACAAATGAGGACCAAACCAAATATTAATCTTCTCCACTGCCCCCACATAGTTTGATCAATCTGTGTTTCAAGACATAAACCATTAGGTATCCTGGAATTCTCTTCTCCATATTCTTTATATTCAAGAAATGCATAGAACTTTTCATAGCATTAGTTCCAGACTTCACCATTTTTATCTATGATTAAAATAGTTGGGCTTTTCTGCTTCTTGTATTCTAACAGATTCATTCTGTGTGTGTGTGTGTGTGTGTGTGAGATTAGCCTTAGCACTGAGCTACAGCCCCAGCCTCCTTATTTTAAGATAAGGTCTTGCTAAATTACCAAGATTAGGCTTGATTGTGGGACCCTCCTGGCTGAATCACTCAGAAAACTGGGATTATAGGTGTGCACTACCATGCATGGCTTGCAAATTCATTTTTTATTTTCACCTGTTTTCTAGTTAAAATACAGACACAACTGCACTCCTGTCCTGCTTCAAAATCACCAAGATCTTTTCATTGCCTACTGAATAAATTTCAAGTCCTTGTTTACAATTTCCATCTATTTCATTCTCTCACCAAGGACATTGCTTTTAATATTAATTAAATATGAAAATGATCCTACCAGTCTTTAAAGAAAACAATTTTATCTCCCATTTTAGTGACAGCATCAAAACGCAAGTTGGGGTCACAGGTAACTGGTGTTCTACGATCAGGATATGATGTTGGTTGGTGCCCTGCTGGACCCCCTGAAAATACACGTCAAGTAGCATTAGGATAAATGTTTGCATTTTGATCATAGGAGGAAAAACAATTCTTTAAAAAACAATTCATTTTCTAGGTGAAAAATGCATCAAAATCAATTTTTCTATGAAATTCATAAACATACTCTAAGAATTTTTCCCATATGGTTGCAATATCAATCGTGGAGGAGAAAAGTTGGATCACTTTGATTTTCCTTTTCCAGTTGTATTATTTTCTCTTTGTCCCTTTTTCAATAATGCATCTGGCACCAAATTTAAGGCCTCAGATCTTGCCTCATGCTAATGCACTAATTCTTGTACCCTCATCAGTGAGAAGATAATATTATTAGTTCATTCTTCAAAGTGAATAACTTTAGATGCCAAAATGATTAAATAGCTCAACTCACCATAGAGGATTTGAATGCTACGGATGTCATCAGCAGAGAGACGAAATCTGTTGGGGTCAAGATAACCATAGTGGGAAAACATTATGGCCTTTCTATCCCTGGAATGATCAAGCCCCAGGGAGTGGCCAATCTCATGAACAGCAACAAGGAACAGGTTTGTGCCTAGAGGAAATGAGCCCAAAGGGTACAGCTGTGAAATACATTGTCATCTGTTTTTAACTGACACAAAATTATACATATTTATGGAGTATCTTGTGATATTTTGATACATGTGTACACTGTGTAATGTTCAAATGAAGGTGAATATATCTACCTCTCAAATATTTATCATTTTGTGGTGAAAACATTCAAAATTCTTTCCTCTAGCTTTTTGATTGATACACTACATAATTATTATCTATAATCACCCTTCTGTACCAGAACAACTGCTCTTATCCTTCCTCTCCCTAAATCTCTCCAGCCTTTGGTAACCACCAGTATATTCTCAACTTTATTGAGGTCAGTTTTTTAGATTTCAGATATAAGTGAGATCCTGTGGTACTTGCCTTTTTGGGCCTGGATTTTTCACTTAACATGACTTTCGGTTCTGTCTATATGAAAGGACTTCATCTTTTTATGACTGAATATTACTTCATTTTGTGTACCACTTTCTTTTTTCATTCATTAGTTGATGGACACCTATGTTTCCATTTCTTACTTTGTACTTTTGAAAACAATAATTCAACATCTGACACAATGATAGGGAAGGATTTAAAAGGACTTAACATCCTTTACTTATTTCCCCATTGTCTTGAGTAGGGTTTCTCAACATCAGCATTACTGATATTACAAGTCAGATAATTCTTTGTTGTCAGGTTGGTACTTTGCATTAGATGTTTAGAAATTTGTGTTTTACTACTAAATGCAAATATAACCTTCCTCTAGGTTTCACAACAAAAAAATGTCTCCAGATATTTTCAAAACATCCCAGGGGAGGTAAAGTTACCTCCAGTTAAGGACTACTGCATTGCTAGACAAGTGAAATACATTCTATTATAGAACTTCATAGAATAAGCCATAGCTGTGTGAACGGAGAGAGAAACCTCTTCCTTTTTAGTGAGCCTCTGTTTCAAAAACAAAAAAGCGAGAACTAAGTTATTCTCTGCACTCTGAATAAGACTCTGGGAAGAGTAAACAAAGGTTTTACAGTTTGTCTAAACCTGAATTTTTCCTACTCCAGATTCTCATGACACTTTGTACAAAGCATCATCATTGGTCTTCATTTCCAAATAATGGATTTATGTTTGCATCTTGTTTCTCACCAGATTGCACACCCAAGGGTAGACTGTGTCACTTTCTTCTCTGTATTCCAACATCCCATCCCTCAATACCATAATAGAAATTCAGTATCATTAATAAAACTGTTCCTGGGTCAAAAAAATTAGGCTGTGAATGAACACTTTAAGATAGAATTTTTATAAAAACCTTTTGAAAGCATAGACTCAAGTCAATTAAAAAATAAGGCAAAGAGCTAGGAAATACATATTCTAGCCTCAGCTTTTCCAAAGAGTAGCCACTAACATTCTCTTGGTCTCAATTTTTTAATCTCTACAGAGCTGTATCAAATCACTTTTCTAAGATATATTAGAATTCCAAAATATTCTTTGTGGCTAACCAACACAATTATCTCATTTCAAATGATGAGCTTATGATTCCCAAATAACCTTAGATAAAAGTGAGACACATTTCATATGTCTGGCTGAAGATTTCCAATTTCCTAAGTACTTAATCCTATATGATTTGCTTTAATAGTAGAATGTGATAAGCCTTAAGCTATGTGTCAGACTGAAATAGCCTCTTTAATGGACATAGTGTCTTTAAAAATATTGGCATGCAATGTGTGCAATATTGCCAGAGGGAGGATATGGAGTACGCCATTTTTTTTTTGTATCAGGGATCAAACTCAGGACCTTGAGCTTGCGAGGCAGGTGGAGGAACCACTGAACTAAATCCCTGGCCAGAGTACACCATATTCTTGACTTTCTCCCTATTTACTTTCCAAAGGAGTGAATTTTATCATCTAGAACTTCCAGTAGAGAGATTAAGAAAGCTCTGATAAGTGGCTTGAATCTTCTCATGCTAGTAATTCCTCCAAACAATAGACAAACACTATCTGAGACATAGGATCCACTATCCACTATCCACTGTCTGAGACAGAGGAGGAGTAGTTCTTCAGTAAATGCACACAGGTGCTGTTAAATAATTGGTTGGTTCTAAAATTTGATGCCAGGACCATGAAACACTACATGACCATAATCATGTGTTTCTCCATAAGGATCTCTACATTCTACAACTTTTTCATTCTGCGTCTCTATAAACCCAAGCAATTGCCAAGTATCATATAGTGAATCACACACAACAACCTTGTGTTGTGTATTATCTCAGAGTTAAGACTAGTGTTTGGCTTTGAGTTTATGGATTTTGCTGTCAAAACCAAAATAACAACTTTTACTTTTCCATAAGTTTATACATGCTCATAGACTGACTCTTAGAGATAATCTTTAAACTAATCTAGTCCAAAAGCCTCAACTGTTAAATTTTATTTAGAAACATACTTATGATCAGAACAGGTTTTTCCATGCTATAATCGTTTATCAGAATGTAATCTTTAAAAATAAGGTCATATTTTCAATTTTGTGGACTTTTTCTTTGCTCTGTGCTTTTCTCTCCCTACCTGTGGAAGTTTTACTCCAGGTTTCTGCCTCATCAAAATGTGTGTCTCCTCCAATGCCAGGTCCAGGTCCAAAAGCATGAGCTAAGATTCCACCTCTGCCATCAAAAGAGTTGAAGTCACCATGATCTTTTTTTAAAAAATGAAAGAAAATTAGTTCTATATGTGCTACAAATCATAGCAAATTGTACAGATGAAGTCCAAGTTCTTTACCTCCATAAGCAAAAAATATCATGATGTCAGCCTCGCCTACATTGATCTTTTTGAATTTCAGGGGGGTCACATCGCTCCATACTTGAAAAGCTTTCTGAATGACATCATCAACATCCTTATACCTCATGTCGGGAGTATAGTTTTTTATTCTTTAAGAGAAAAAAAAGAGAAAATATATGGAAACTATACATTAATTTTGCCTTATCACAATACTTTAGCTTTGCTACCACCACTGGAGGGTGAATCATTTCATAAATCAAGAGTCCTGATTTTTGAAAAAAATGTTTCTTTAAGTACAAAACCCTTATTACTTTGACAACTTTCTTTTTAACCCAAAACTAACTTACTTTCTCCTTACCTATGAGTTACAGGTCCTCACTGAAGAATTTACTTTTACACAAACTTACACCTTTTGCTCCTGCTCCCAGATTCAGTCTTACTCAACTTGACTATAAACATTTTCCTATCTCTTATTTATATGTAATTTACCTTCACTCTCCTTTAATTTGCTGCTCTTGTACACTGCCTGAACTGACTGGCAAGACAAACCATTACAACTCTTCCTTGAGTGAAGAGTCCTCCCTTTTAGAGATTATAGAGTTTAACACAGAGATAGTGTTAACGATTGAAGCGAGCTGTTTATCCATTTCCAGATAACAGACTACCGCCTAATTAGGTCAGCATTCTAGAATTCAGACCAATGGGAAAATAGAAAAATGTATGACTTCATACACCTCCTTTACCTGTATGTGATAAAATGCTTCCTCCACACTGGCCTCCCGGGCTGAGTCCTGAAATGTTGCACGTCAGGCACTCCACATCGAGGTGCACGCATTATCTCCAGAGTAGGTCTGTCCAGTTGCCCAGTCACTTTTAGCCCAAAGAACTTCTGCATTTGCTGGATTTTTTCCTCTAGAAGGTGTGTGTTTAATTTCATTTTGTTCATTGGATTGCTCTCTGTTTCATTAAGGCCATAAAAATTCATCAAATACTCCTGTTAAAAAAATACACTCAGTAATTCATCATTGTATACAAAAAAGTTTCTGATGGGATCACTCTCTATATGACTCAGATGCACACCTATGTTTTTGAGCCAGGTATTTTAATCACTGGTTTTTATTTTCTGGACAGTTATAAAGAGAAAGGATTTTTAATTTTCTTTGCTAGCAAATAGATGTCATAAATTTTTTTGCAAAATTTGTTCGTGGAAGCTCAGTAGAAAATCTTCATATTTCTACTGCTTCAAACTTGTTTCTACTCAGTTGCAACTTCAAGAAAATCATGGCATTCAGTAAGTGGAAGCATTTCTATTGTTAGGATTCATAAATTATAAATTTAAGTTGTGATAAAAATTTCTGGTTTTGTTGGAAGTGTAGCTCAACAGTAAAATTCTTGCCTAGTTTTGTGGCTTATGTCTAGATGTCCCCCCAATGACCATGTGTCATAGGTGGGGCTTTTCAGAGGAGGCTGGATCTAGAATGTCTGGTGCTGGGATGAAGGTGTGAGTCTGGGATCAAGAGTGTGTGATTACTGAAGTAGTCCACTAATTAAGTATTAGTATTTTAGTATTAGTAATTTAGTTTGTAGTATTAATCCTACAATTTAATTAAACTAATTGGTCACTAAATTAGTTTGGCATAGTTCTGGGTATGGATAATGAGGAGGCCCACCCTGGGTGAGAGTGTTACTCACCCTAAGGGGATGTAGGCTGGAAAGAATACAAGGGACACAAAGAGGGCTGCTGCTGTTGCTTGCTGCTTGCTGCTTGTGCTGCCTCCTACCTGTCCTCCACGTCTGAACTGTTTAATCTCTTTGTGATGCTGCTCTGCCGTGCCACCCTGCCTTGGAGCCAGCCAAATATGAACTGAAACCCCTACAAACTGTGACCCATATTAAACTTTTCTTCCTTTAACTTTGGGTGTTTAGTATCATGTCTCAGTAACAAGAACAGTAATCAAGACACTTAGTGTATGCAAGGCACTGGCTTCTGTCCACAGTACTGCTAAACAAACAAAAAACCAAAAACCCCCAAATTTGACACAGTGAGCAATTATGATACATTCAAAGCTAAAGAAATTGTGGAAAATAGAGCCAGGTATATATTCAGAAGACTGAAGAGCAAAGATCATCACTTGAGCCCATGATTTAGAAGACTTGTCTCAAAAAGCTAAAATAAAAATGGAAAGTATTTTGGAAAATATTAAAGTAAGACTTTAACTAGAAGAAAAGTTATAAGTGAAAAATTATATTTAAAAAATGCTTAAGAGTTTGTCACGGCAGCTCTGGGAGCTGATGTAAGAGGATCACCATGAGTTCAAGGCCATCCTGGCTATTGTACCAAGTTCAAGGCCAGCCTGAACTTCATAGTGAGACCCTGTCTCAGAAAAACAGAAATAAACAAATAAATATAAAATAATTTAAAATGCTTATGAAGAATATCTGGGATGAATGAGAGAAAAGGGAATATGCTGAAACTGCTATAGGAGCTTGAAGTGGTTAAATTGACCAGGTCATTGAACAAATTTCAGATTATTAATTAGCGTTAAATAGCTAAGGTAAAATAAGATAATGGAAATGAACCCCAATAATATGGCATCATATATTCCTTGGCCAAACATTCTTAATACAAGGGATATTTTATAACACTTCTTTAAAGCTAATATTTCTTTTTTATGTTCCTCTATGGCAAAGAAAAATCCATGCTTAAAAGAGTCTCCTATATCAGTTTTCAAATGACATTTTTCAAAATAAAACTAATAAGTACAATAAATACTAAAGACAAAAATCAATTTAAATAAATTCTAAGTTTTAATACTTACCTTAGCAACTTGTCTATATTTGCTCAAGTCTGTATAATCAGGGAGGACATTTCCAAATGAAGGGACCAGCAGGACCAGAATCAGTAGAAGAAACTTCATTGTTGCTTCTCCCTCCAGAATGGCTTTGCTCAATTTATGCTTCCCTTTAAATACAAGTTCCTTAACTGTCCCTATTTATGTAAACCTTAGCCGAGACTATGAAATCCTTGGAGTGACTCATACTTTAGATCATCTATCGGTTTATCTCAAAACCATGCAAGATCACTTTATTGAACTAATTCTGGGTCAGTTAGTGTCTGACCAATCACTCACCTAAGCATTGCATGGTATATTTCTTAAAAAAGACAAGCAAGTCTCTACTTATATCCAGTCTACAAAATAAGTGCTTGTAAAATAAAAATAAAAGCATGGTGAAAGATAAAGATACTGGTCTAATTTTAAACTTTGACAATTAAAATCCAGTTTTTCCAACATCATTTATTAAAGAGACTATCTTTCTTCCAGCAAGGGTTTTTAGCTCCTTTGTCAAAGATGAAGTAACTGAGTGTGTCTGGAGTTGTTTCTGCATCTTCTAATGTGTTCCACTGATCCTCGGGTCTGTTTCTATGCCAGTACCGTGCTGTTTTAATCAGTGACTTTATAATACAGTTTCAAGTTGGGAATTGTGATACCCCCTACCATGTCTCTGTTGCCTAGAATTGCATTTGCTATTCTAGGTCTCCTCTTGTTCAAAATGAATTTTGGATTGTTTTCTCTAGTTCTGTGAAATATACTGTTAGGATTTCAATGATTAAATGAGATGACGAATTATAAAAACTAGCATGTAGGGGAGCTGTTCATTTTCCTTTGACCTGGGAGGGAATTATCACTCAGTGAGTTTGTAAACAGAGGTGGCTCTTTATGAAGAAGATCATGTGGGAAAAATTGCAATGTAATCCTTTCAAACAATATATATAGTTCAAAAGTCATAAATGGAAAGTTCAGTTAGAAAGTAGAAAAAAATGGGATATTTTGGAAAATACAAAAGGGGCTGGTTTTCCAACCACTTTATTCCTTATATTTAAAACTACCTTGAGGTTAGTAAATGTGTGAATGAATCTAGTTGGAGAATTATAAGGACATCAGTGGTAACTATCTCAACAGGAGTAATCATTGTTTGGAGGATATGTCTCTAAGGCTCACTGAAAGCAAGAACAGGTGTTACCCACACCAGGAAAGAATCTGGTTTTTGGAAGATTTGAAGGAAGTATCTTGTGAGTCCAGGATGTAAAACTCAAGAAAACACTATATACAAAGAAGTGAAAACAACATTCTCATTAGAAATAAAGACAGCCTACCACACCCCAGTTTTTTTCTTTTTGGGTCATGCCCCCAAATGAGACAAGCATGAGGGGATAAAGGCCACTTGGGGTGCCAGAGGACATTGCAGTGCTTGCAGCTCCTGCAGTCAAGGTGACCTGCTTTAGAATCTTAGCTCCATCATTTTATAAATTAGGGCAGTCATTTTCATCTCTTTAAAACTATTTTTTCTTTGATAAAATCAGAATAATTATTGTTTCCACCCTAAGAACTGTAATAGATACTACATTAAATAATGGGGGAAAGTATTTTGCCTACTACCTGACATAACTTAAAGGTTGCTTTTTTTTTTCTTCTTCTTCTCGTGGTACTGGGCCCTCAACCTGGATTCAGTGATTACAACACTCTATTTAAGGCATTTTAAAAGAAACTGGTATCTGGGTGTGGTAGCTTTCGCCTATAATCCCAGCACTCAGAAGGCTGAGGTAGGACAATCATGAGTTTGAAGCCAGCTGTATAATGAAAAGCTGTCTTAAAAAAGGAGAGAAAGAAAGAAAGAACAGAGACAAGAAAAGCATGAAGAGGATGATCAACTTCCTGCCCAGACTCTCTCCAGGAGAAGAAGGAACTACAGAATAATTATGACTCAAAGCCAGATTAGGAACCATTGGAGGGGCACAGCACACAGGGCGCATGTCGAGGGCAGTGAGAATCGAGGCGTCAGGGCAATGCTCTTTGTGAAGAAGAGCACATTGTACGAAAGCGTAGAGAATAGTCGAGGCCAGAGTTCCTCATGAGAGAGACAATTTATGCTATGAAGAGTTTCCTTATTAGAAAAGCATATAACACAAAGTTTCTCAAAGCATTTAAGACTCCTTGACATTGTTTCCTTGCTTTTAGTCAGACACCAGGACACTCAAGGCTACATCCCTGGTACTGGCAGCCATTGCTAGGGTCAACCTCAGGGATCTATAGGCAAATTGGGGCATGGTTACCAGCAAGGACTGGGAAAGAGCAAAGATCCCAAAATTCACAGAAAAACTTCTAGCTGACCCTTTCATGTAAAGAGTGTGCTCATTTATGAAAGAATCTTCAGCTGGTAATGCTCTCCTTTAGTAATAAAGAAGTGGAAGTCTGAAAAAGGGAACTATATTGCTCAAGGAGACATCCAGAAGGTCTCCTGATTCTGTCCGCTTTATTGCTGCAATACACCTCATTTGCCATTTTGGCTTTTATTCATGTTTCTGTCTTCCTAATAATTATCTTACTGAAAACACTCCAAAATTTCATTATACCATCCTCAAGTTTTTAATTAAAGGCATGCCATCCCCTTGGGGTCACATATGCCAGAAGTAACCAGATAGTGCCAGATGTATTGTTAGGTACACGGATTCTCTAGGGCAGTGGCAGCCCTTGTCCGTGCTCTGCAGGCTGAACTTCTAGACACCTGCTCCCTGAATTGGTTAGCACAGGGCTCTGCTGTTTGAATGTCTTCTGATGTCAGGGATCCCAAGGGGTATCTCTGTGGAGCATGGTGTTTGGGGTCACCCAGTTAGTTCTGTGGACCTAGACAAGTCAATTTTTCTATGCTTCACATTTTTCATATGTAATTAGGGGTGATATTAAGGTTTGTAAAGAATAAATAACAATGTTCACTCACCTAACTGTGGGCCTTCATATGATGCTGCCTCAAAAAGTGGTAATTCTTTGCCTTCTCCTTACCTTCCTATCCATGTATGTTGGTCATGACATGTTTGATAGATCAACTAACTTTTTCTGCAATGGAGAGAAATTCATCTAGACAACAAGTAAAATATAATAGCTGAAAATCTTTGTCCATAAAAAATAGACTTCTGAAAATGTGGAAATAAGTAGTGTTGAATGTGGTACATGCCTTTATTCTAGCACTCTGGGAGGCTAAGGTAGGTGGTTCTCAAATTCAAGCCCAGCCTGGGCAACTTAGCAACTTAGTGAGACCCTGCCCCCCACCCAAAAAAATAGAAGAGGCTGGAGCTATATGTCACTGTGAAACTCCTAGGTTAAATACTTAGTACCAAAAAAAAAAAAAAAAAAAAGG